TGAGTCCAATGAGGCTTACTCCCAGGTGGGACGCGGGTGGCGCTGTGGTCTAAATCACTGAGCTTCTTGGGCTTGCCAATCAGAAGGTCGGTGGTTCAAATCCCCATGACGGAGTGAGCTCCCGTCGCTCTGTCTCAGCTCCTGCCAACCTAGCAGTTCGAAAGCAAGCCAGTACAAGTAGATAAATAGGTACCACTGTGGCGGGAAGGTAAACAGTGTTTCTGTGCAATCTGGTTTCCGTCACGGTGTCCCGTTGTGCCAGAAGTGGTTTAGTCATGACCCGGAAAGCTGTCTGTGGACAAATGCCAGATTCCTCGGCCTGAAAGCAAGATGAGTGCCGCAACCCCATAGTCGCCTTTCACTGGACTTAATCGTCCTGGGGTCCTTAACCTTTTTTTTTTTTTTTTTTTGGTCCTTACTCCCAGGTAAGCTTGGTATGGATTTGAAGAGGTGCATCACTCAGTAAGGAATCAGCCGTGTTTTCAGGGTACCCCATTCACTGGCGTAGAAAGAGGTGGGGGAAGCGCATTGCCCCCGGTATATTTGTTAGTTTACACTTTAAGCACATGGCTTCCCCCAAAGAGTCCTGGGAACTGTAGTTGCTAAGGCTGCTATGGGGGGCAAACTATAGTTCCTATGATTCTTTTGGGGGAAATAATGTGCTTTAAATGTATAGTCTGAATGTGACCATAGACTATGAGTTCTGTGATGTCAAGGGGAACTACAGGGCAGATTTAAAGATATACTACCTCTGTGTTTCTCTTGACTTTGTAAACTTTTCATTGTTTGGAAAATGGGGTGCTTTGGGTTTCCAAATGCTGGATAACTAAATGCTTTGTTGAATCCAAGATGTCAAAGACTGAAAAGAACAAAATTTCCATCGGCATCAGTAAGCACTGGCTCGTTTTGCAAGTTAATCTCATTAACTTTAGTTCTTATACGTCTAATATTTGCAAAATTTAAGCTGGCATTGAGGCTTCCATTCCAATTAAAGCACATTACTGTTTTATCACTGATATGGTCAGGAAATCAATTTGGTCAAAGGTTATTTGGCTTTCGTTTCCACATTTTGTAGGATTTAGTGACTGCAGTATTTTTGGACTTCAGGTCTTCAGCCTTTAAGAAAACAAAATGTGTCATTCTAGTTTTAAAAGATAATTATACATTGATGTCAGTTGCATTCTTTTCAACTAGGGAAGCAGTATTTCCTTTTTTAAAAAAAATGGTGCTGTGCTCCAGTCTAGACTTGGGGGTTTGATGTCTGATCTGAACTGGCTACCTTTCTCACCGAAAAGCAAAAAATAAATTGGCTTGGAATGAAGGAAAATGAGTAAAAAGGATTTGTGTGGTGGATCTAATCTCTTGATAAGTTATTGACTTTGGATTTCATTTGTAGTGTTGTGCTTTGAAACAGCAACCGAGATCTGGGGTTACCATTTATGTCAAATAATTATTGCTTAAGAGTGCCATTAACATCGGCAGACTGAAAGAAAGATGCAAGTCTTGACCTAGGGTTTCTGACAGAACGTTTGAGGGCTTTTTCAGCTTGTCCTGCTGAAAGTGAGAAAGTAGTTAGGTAGGCTTTGAATGCCAGCAGGACTGCTGTTTAGAGGGAGCCAGGAAGAGATCCCAAGAGCACCACACCATCTCAAAACTCATCTGACTATTCCTTGAGAGCACCTTATCTGTGGTTCTCATGGGGATTTATGCAGCCCATCAAATAGATACCCAAACAAATACAGTGGCACCTTGGGTTAAGTACTTAATTCATTCTGGAGGTCTGTTCTTAACCTGAAACTGTTCTTAACCTGAAGCACCACTTTAGCTAATGGGGCCTCCTGCTGCTGCCGTGCCACCGCTGCAAGATTTCTGTTCTCATCCTGAAGCAAAGTTCTTAACCCGAGGCAATATTTCTGGGTTAGCGGAGTCTGTAACCTGAAGTGTATGTAACCCGAGGTACCACTGTAAACATATTTCCCAATTTACTCTTGGTCAGGCATAGGCAAACTCGGTCCTCCAGATGTTTTGGGACTACAGCTCCCATCATCTCTGACCACTGGTTCTGTGTTATACATCTTTCCTCTTCCCACTGAAATTTAGGAGCATAGGAAGCTGCCTTTGAAACAAGACAAATCATTGGTCTATCTAGCTCAGTATTGAACAGTGACTGATAGCCTGCTCTCCAGGATTTCAGACATAGTTCCTTCCAAGCCCTACCTGGAGATGCCTAGGACTTCTTGCAAGCAGAGCAGGTTCTCTACCACTGAACTATGGCCTTTTCATCTCTCCTTGCAGATGGGGCACCTTTGGCTCAATTCTCATTTGTTCCCAAATGAAAGTCATGTGGGAACGGATTTTCTACCAATGGATTTGATGCCTGCTGCTCATATTGTTCTTCATACATTTTGAGATGCCTATGCTTGATTTCAGGTGATTCTCCTGGAAGGCACAGTTTTCTTTTCCCAGAATGCCCTAGACCAGGCATCCCCAAACTTGGCCCTCCAGATGCTTTGGGACTACAACTCCCATCATCCCTAGCTAACGGGACCAGTGGTCAGGGATGATGGGAATTGTAGTCCCAAAACATCTGGAGGGCCGAGTTTGGGGATGCCTGTCCTAGACACTGATCAATCCAGAGTGTTATGGGGGGAAATGGTGGCCACAGGGGTGGAGGCGCCATTTTCTGTGGTGGATCAATATTCTTAATCCCCCACCTCCAAAATACACCATGATGTAGTGATATGCTTCTGCCACTACTCCAGGAAGCAACTATAACAATAGTCAAAGTAAAAAAAATCAATGAGATTGAAAAATGAATGTAAGTAAGAAAATGCTGAACTTATTTAGATATAACCTACCTTTCAGAGCAAGCTCTCCCTGGATGGCTAATAATAACAATAATTTTTGTTGGAGCATAATGACCATATTGATTTTTCTCTGATTGATTGTACTCACCTGCTCTGATTTATGTACTGCAATCTTCATGTTTTTATCTATTTTAAAATTACATTTGATAATGAAATGTTGATGGGTAGGAAAGGCTTTTAACGAATAAATTAAGAAGAGCAGCTAACTAAATTTGCAGCTGTAGCAGGATTTGAACTCAGCTAACAAACTGAGCCACAGGCTGTAGCCGTGCTTACCTCATCTGATTTTTGCTGGCTGCTTTGCTTCCTGCTTACAAGTTGCTGTAAGCTTCCAATAGCTAGCCTGACTTTTCATGGTTAATTTTTGCAATCTACTTGATGTTCCCTTAGATTAAATTCTCCTCCCTGGGCACATGCCAACTAAGGTTTTCTTTAATCACAGATATCATAAAGGCTGGATCTCCCACCCCATCTCTTCTAAATGCTCACATCTGGCTGCACATGTCACAGCACAATATGCCGTACTGACGCGTGTGACATTTTCAGCACAACCGTGTATATTGTGTTTGTCACCAAGCTCCCTAAATTAGTAGGAAATTCTTCCCTGGTGTGATTTAAAAAAAAAAAAAAATTCAGAGTAGAGACTCTGTTACATATAATTATCTGCATGTTACATTATGCTAATGTGAATTTCTGAAGTCTGGTGGTCCTTGCTGTGTGTTGTGTCATCTGAGAAGGGTGATGACACGCAGGAAGGGGAAAGTTTAGAGAAGATTGTATCAATGCCTTGACTGGCCCAAAGGTATCATTCCAGGAATACTGAAAAACAACAGCACATCTATGGTAATAACTCATCTGTTACCCACTTAACGGTGCAATGGGTGATTGGCTCACCCAAATTTCCACTCATTTCCTGGAAACTTTCCTTCTGAGAACTGAAACGACACTGAACAACTCTCCAAACTTTCTGAATGCTCCTGAAGAATGTTCTTCATAATCGAGTGGCTTAGCTGGCACCATGCCCCCAGGAGCCCTGAGAAATTTAGGTTCCCAGGGCTCCTTGCAAAGCGTGTTCTCCCTGAAATGAGAGCACGTGTTGCAGTGGGGTCTGCCGAGCCATCCCTCTGTTGCCAGGAAGGGTTAAAAAAAAGCTGCCTGGGTCAATGATTGGATGGCTGGGTTGCTGGGGCAAATTGCATGTTGCAATGTGATGGGTGGGTCCGAAGGCTTTAAATATTGGGGCACTCAGCTTATTGCTTTCTCTTTCGCTGAGTGCATCGGATCACCCGCCCGCCCTGAGTTCAGGGTGTTTTGGTTGACCTTGCTATGCCTGTCATGGGGTTGTCTGCTGTTGGAGCAGGGGCCTGGTAGGAATTTTGTCCATATGGCTGGATTGGCTGAGCCATTTGGTTTTTGCCTACTATGTAGCAAATCATCACAACTTGTAAGGTTGCGGTTAGGCATTGGTTATACATTGGTTGGAGGAGGGGTAAGGATAGGCTGGGCCTGCCCCTCCAATGCTGGTGAGGAAGGGAATTCCGTTAAAGGAATCCAGGGGCTTGCCACGATTTCGTCCAAATCCCTGAAATGGGACTAGGGCTGGCAAGCCCTGGGGAGCATGTGGGTGAGTTGTGAGGGCCTGTGACTCAGCTCCATTGCTCCCCAATATTGTTTTCCCTTCACTGGCTTCCGAGGGAGTTCAGAAGTCAGTTCTGTCCCAGGCAGGGGGACAGATAGTCTTAACCAATGCCTAAGCAACCACTCACAGATATGTAATTTAATAAAGTTGTGGCCAAAATTATGCCAAAAACCTTAAACAAAAATTATGTGTGAGTTCTGAGTTATTTGAGGGGTGGCTTGGGGACCTCGACACGCAACTGCGGACACTATTGTTGCTACAAAGTTGTCAATAGAAGAAAGGAATGAAAAATTTATTCTGCTAGCTAGGGCGGATGGAAGTTGAAGTTTGACAATATCTGGAGCTCAATAGGTTCTCCACCGCAGGCACAAAATCTTGTTAATCTTATTTTTAGCAAAAGAATTTTTGAGAAACACAACACCTACCTACTTCAGAATACATCCAACCTTCACGAGCTAGACAAATTCACATGAAATAGCTCTACTTTTTGTAGCGCCCAGTTAGCTCAGTTAGTTAGAGCATGGTGCTAATAATGCCAAGGTCATGGGTTTGATTCCAATATGGGCTACCTGAATATTCCTGCATTACTAGCCAACTAGTTGACCCATTGTGTCCCTCCCAATTCTACTTTTTATGAGAATTGTGGGAGCATGGGTTAAACTTCAGTTAATCATATGCAGATTTGCCATTCCATAGGGTTACGCTTCGATTCATCAGTTAATTTTGTATGCCAAATTCTCTTCTGGGTGGTTTAAGACTTTAGCGGAAAGCTTCTCATGACAGAAGCTCACAGAACAATTTGTCTGAGTAGCACTGACATCCTGCTTGCTTCATATTAACTCATGGACTCACCCATAATGTGTAGCAGGCTTGCCTCATGAGGATTAAATTAAGACATGTATCTCAAACTGAATGCACCTCACTTACCAATGATTGTACATTACCATGGAAATTTCTGTTCTGTAGTGATCTGAAGGTTAACAGGTATCCTCACAGTTTTACGGTTATTAACTTAAACCCTCAAGTTAAACATTCGCTGGGCTCAAATTAAGGAACAACGGCCCTCCCCCTCACTTTTCCAGAAAATAGATGCTTTGTGACAAGATTGCTCATTAAGCCTCCCAAGGGCATGTGCAAATGTTGAGACAGTAAAGAGTCCACAGAAATAAGAGATGACTTTTGAAGATAGTCATAGAAATAATGGCTCTTCCCTGGGTGAAATCTCCACACACTGGGCTCTTCAGAGCTATTGTGTTGAAGTGGTTATAATATCCTTCGCACTGAGTGACCTTATCTCCCTGGCATTTTCTAGTGAAAAGAGAAATCTGTGTTTTTAATGTCATACCATGAATATGCTTTCTACCGCACGCTGTTTCACACCGCCAAGGTGCCACTGATCTCTCTATCATTAATGTCATAGGTATTTCGTTTATATATACATCGACTTGTTGCTTTCTTAGGCTCAAGTTACATAGCTCACCAAACTTAGAGAGATTTGCAGTGAGCAACAACTTGTAGGACCTCGTTTGCTCAAAACCAGACAACATGGGTCTCTGTGACTCAAGACAGGAGCTAGAAAGATGGACACCTCTCACTATAAACCTTGCATGGGCTATTCCAACCCACTTCCAAACCCAGAAATGGCCTGTGAACTGATTCATACTGCTCAGTGTCAACTGTCTTAAAGCCCTAGTTGGATTCCCTGTTCCACTTTAGGTTTAGATAGTATGATGCTGCTAAGGCCCAAGGGCCCAAGGGCAGTTTCCTCCATGTTCTTGAAAGCTGGTCTGGCACAAGAGGTTGATTAGATTAGATTCACTCTTCAGCACAACCCGGGTAGCCTAGCATCTAGTCCTTCTCAAACCATATAGGACTTGGAAAATATCTTGCCCTGCAAGTGTTCTGGAAAAAACCAAGACATCCTGTTTCCTCACATGAGAGCGCAGCAGCCATTTTGGGTGCTGTGATCTCTCGCAATTTCATTATGACTAACATGTGCATTCTATTTTTTGCAAGCAATTTCTCCAAATGCATTTTGCATGTAATTTTTGTCGGCATCTGGGGGTTGAAAGGCCAGCTGGCTAGCCCCAAGCTGGATCGTCTCCTTCTCAGCTGTGCCCCTGTGAAGATCCATCAACCTCTGGCTCTGACATAAATCAGTGACTCAAGCCTCCCAGACTTGAGCACACTATACGTAACAGTGTAAACTGCACAACAGAAGAGGCCGAGGCTTGTGGATACATACTAAGAACTACGGATTTATTAAACATAAATCAGGACAAAGAAACATGTCGTCTCTCCTTGCCGTCTTCTCGGAGAGAGGGTCAAAACAAAAGCTATACACAGAGCGGAACTTCCACTCACAGGACCCAGCAATCTGTGCTGGAAAGTAAACAGACATGTAACACACAACAATCCCATGTCTGCAAAAAAAGGTGGAATGGAATCTCCCAACAATTTTAACTATGTTCATTTTTATGCTCACTTTCTCATAATATATGCATTTCTGTGAACATGGGTTGGAGAACTACGTTGCAAAATGTGGAGGAGTTATGCGCATTTCGAAAGAAGGCTGCATTTCAGTTCTCATATTGTTTCAGGAAAATGTGAATTTGATAGATTCACCTGTAAATGTCAACTGAATCAAATTTCTCCTCCACCTCTATTCAAAAGAAGAACTTTACCCTGACTAGAGTCAACTTAACTGGCCTGACTTGCCTCTTCTTGGCATCAATTTCTCCTTTAAGCCCCACCTAAGACCCCAATCTAATAATTCCTAAATGCTGTCAAGGATGAAATGGGTGGCACACAATAAAGTACTGCAAAACAATGAGGAGGGAACAGCTTAAACACCAGGCCTGGTGTAGCACTGCTATTATTGTCCTGAATAATCAATGAATAAATACATAAAATATGAGGCAGAGGTCCTCAGAAACGTTAGCTTGTTACTGAGGCTTAATAACATATAATGAAGTATAACAATGGTGCCAGATTAATGGTTTCCTGACAGGAAAAGAGAAAAAAAGCTCACTGTAAAGATTGTCCTTCTAATGGAACATGTAAACAGAAGGAAAGTTCACAGACCTACAAACCTTCACACAACTACACACACCTTCTCATATATATATATATATATATATATATATATATATAATCACTTCCCTTTGCCTAATTCCCTTTCTGCATCCATAGAATAGAGCCTCCAAATGTCCCTATTTTCCAGGGACAGTCCTGGATTTACAGAAGCCTTTCTGATTTGATCCTGGAATGTCTTGCATTTCCTTAGGACATCCCTATTTTCATCTGAGAAATATTAGAGGGTATGGTAGGATGTCCCTATTTTCATCAGAGAAATGTTGGTGGGTATAGAGTTATCTGACCCCTGAGCCATCTGAAGGCAGCCCTGCAAAGGGTTTAATTTTTTAAAATGTTTATATATATATATATATATATAGGAATCAGCCCAGAGTAGCTGGAGCAACCCAGTCAGATGAGCAGGGTATAAATATTAAATAATAATACAGTGGTACCTCAGGTTAAGTACTTAATTCGTTCCGGAGGTCCGTTCTTAACCTGAAACTGTTCTTAACCTGAAGCACCACTTTAACTAATGGGGCCTCCTGCTGCCGCCGTGCCGCCAGAACACGATTTCTGTTCTCATCCTGAAGCAAAGTTCTTAACCTGAAGCACTATTTCTGGGTTAGCGGAGTCTGTAACCTGAAGCATATGTAACCTGAGGTACCACTCTAATAATAATAATAATAATAATAATAATAGGACATCTCTATTTGCATTAGAGAAATGCTTGAGGGTATGATAGAATCAGAGCTTTCACACTCCCTACAGCTCCTTTCCACCACAAAATAACCACTTTATTTAAACAGTCAAAGAACTTAGTGATTGCTTAGTTTGTTCCATTCTTTTGAGTTAGGAATATATAGTCTTTTCTAGGACTAGATATAGTCAAAATCTTTGTTCCTGCAAATGCTACATTCTAGTCAGGAATTCAACAGGTGCAGCCTCCCGCCTCCCTCTGGTTCGGAGCCCTGAAGAGTTATAACAGAACGGCAGAATCTAATTTAGCTTTTCTTTCCACTCTTGACTTCAATTCTCCTTATCAAATATGAATGCCATTAACTGAGGTGGCGTTGAGGAGAGCGGTGCCCTTTCTGTTCTGAGGCATGGTTTCTATTAACACTAATAGGTGTTATGTGTGGGGAAATGAGAGGTCGCACACCACTGTATTATGCGGAAATGACAGAAAGAAAAGTTACTTAAAGCTTAAAAACAAGGATCTGTGTTTTTCTATGGGTTGTTTTCGCAAGGGTGAGAACCTGTGGCTCTCCAGAGCTTGATAGGCTTCAGCTCCCATTCTCCTTGACTATTGGTCACAAGTTATCCATCCTTGCCTTTGGTTGGAGTCACAGGGAAAATATATTCAAAGAGAGTTCCCTTTCTTCACAGCCCATGAGTAATAAACTGTGGATGTAAAGGGAGAAAAAATCTGAAGTGAGCTTTCAGAGTGGGAAGGGAGGGGAAGGGTACTGAATATTTATTACTCCTCTTTATGACATTTGCAAATGCCTTATTATATTTCCACGGATAAAAGGGAAACTCTGATGTTCTGTATTATTCCTTAAACCAATAGAGAGGGACACAAAAATTGCAATGAAACGGGAACTGTTGTTGTTGTTGTTTGGCAGATTTTGTGTCTCCACCGAACACTGTGGTGTTTGGTTTGTGTCTAATGGGCAAAATAAGGTATTAAGAGTCAAGCGGTTTCCAGCTTGAATGTTACGTGGCAATTGCTTAAATCAAATGAGTTCTGTTTTGTTTTTTAGCCCGAAACACTAATCTCAAGTGGAAGTTGTCACATTTGATAAAGTACAATGGAGCCAGGGAGGAAATCTTCTGTTCCTATTTCCAGAGGTGCATCTGTTTGCAGGCATGTGTTATGCCAGTTTGCCTTGGAACGCCAGCAATGAACTTTAATTGTCTACTTCAGGAGAAGGGCTTAATTTTGATCCAAATCCCCTTAGGTAGCAATCAGCCACCTAAGATAATCACACCTCCCCAATGCAGGTAAAAATAACCACCTTGATTCCATCACCTCCCTTCGCCATTCTCCCTCTGCTCATTACAAAGCGTGTATATTTTTATAACCCTGCTCTTTTGACAGGCAGGGATCTATTGCCCTTGGAACTTCAGATAGTCCCGCAATAACAGCTATTTCAAACCCATTATAATAATTAATCACAGGAGGTGCTACCAGGAGAAAATCACATAATTGTGAACCTATAATTGAATTTTTAACACTCTTAAACTGAAGTGAGTAGACTTTGAGAAAATCAGGGTGACAGGAAACTACCCTTTCTATTCTTCAGCATTCTAGCCACTGTTTGGACAGTTTTTCAACCAGTGGCACGATAACTTAAAATATTCCTTATTTTGGTCCTAGCTGGAAGACAGAAATATAGACAGAAATTCATTTCCCTTGGGCTTCCATGTTGTTCCACAGAGAAGCGATAGCTTGTGAGAATCCTATGTGACAAATTCCAGTCATGGCA